ATATATATACTAAAATAAACTACTACTTACTACTTGTACAACTATTCGTACTTCGCGGTTTGTTACTTATCGCGGGGCTTCAGGGTACAGATCCCCCACGATAAACGAGGGATTACTGTATATTGAGATGAAATGAAGGATAAAGAGGAAAAAGACAATAAAACAAACAAACAAATCAACAAATCTGCAACGCTGAAGTAGATTTCACAGAGCAAAAAGCTTAAAACGAAACAAAAATGTAAAGTTATATTTTAATAAACATGTAAGCGTGCGTGGTTGCATCAGGGCTCTGCTCATAACCAAGCCTGAATGGTGGGTGCTATTTAAGAGTATCGTCATATATCCAACTGCCTTGACTTTAATTTGACTTCAAGTGAACAACGCTGGTGATCAGTCATCGCCTTTCATAAATGCAACACGGCTGTAAAAGTGTCGGAACTGAAAGGATTATTGGTTTTAAACATCAGCGGGCGGGAAGTGAAAGCAATTAAACTGACATTTTAAAATAAACCTGAATAACAAATTCATTTCGTTTTGATTTTTTGTGACAGTCACGTTTAGATTTCATTGCAATGTTTAAAACTCTGAAAATATCTACGACTCTTTAAGTTCACAAACATTCATAAGAGAAATAAAATGGTGTTTTGTGGTTCTGTTGTAAAGACGTTGTAACGCTTCGAAGTGAATGAGATCTGGACACATTGTTCAACAGATTCATCACAAGAGGACTACGGAGCTGCTGAGAGCAGTAAGACGGATTCAGCCCCACACACACACACACACACACACACACACACACACACACACCATGCACTGGCTCTCAGAGTGCCGTTCAGACAGCCACAGCCAAACACACAGCAGGCTGCCTTCACATCAGGCTGGAGACAAGAAAAGAGATGAAAAAGGGAGGAAAAACAAAAAAAACGAGGTAAGTCAGCTGAGATCCTCTCTATGTCTCTGCAGGCTGTTTCACTCACGGACACGTTTTGATTTGTACCCCACAACGTGAGCTTCATGTCATCCTGTTTTCACGTCAGAGCTTTGGATCATGAAAGCACCTATAGGAGAGTTACTGACAATGAACGGAAAACACTTCAACTGAGCAAACGCTCGTGCTGTTGTATTGTCTATTTCTGCCAGGGACAACCTAGACACGGTTTTAGGACATAGAAAAAAGATTTTCACCAACATTATCTGGGATATGTGTCAAGCATCGCTTCAATTCTGTGTTTCAAAATAACTTACATCGACATAAAACAGAATGTCGGTGTGGAGTAAACGTGGAGTCCTCGACATCACACTTTTTTTTTAAACCAAATGTACATTTATGCTTTTCAATTTGCCAAAGCCTTAGTGTGTATAAATAATAAAATAAATGAATAAAGCGCATACCTTTTTTACACACAAAAAGATTGCATTAATAAAATGCATGCATGGTTTGGTAACGATATGGTGGATTGTAGACATGAGCCTTGAGGAGTCTGGATAATCAAGAATGGGAGGAAAGCAGTCTGTCTGCTCTATGACATCATTCTATCATGTCTGTTCATCCATCCATCTTTTCATCTTTTCTTTTATGACCGGCTTTACTGCAGGGATGTGGGGCGCTGGTGGTACCCACCTCCAGGACAGGTCATCAGGATGGTCCACATCGAGACAAACAAGAATTCACACTTACACCCAGTGATACTTTTGAGTTGCCAATTAAACCAGCATGCTTTTTAAATTTTATTTATTTTGTTGTCTGTGGGAGGAAATTCAAGTTTCAGTTAAAAACCCAGGTATGTGTAGAGAAAACATGCAAACACACAGAAATCCAACAAAGTTCAGTCAGGTCATATAGACAGATTCTTTTTTTTTTGATGAGACATTTCATCCTTCATCCAAAGAAGCCACAACAAACTGAGTCCCACAGGAAGCATACACCCATAGTGGATCAACCAGTTTGCTGGTGAGCTGTCGACTGGTGAACCCCGTTGGGGGAGCGGGCGGGCCCCAGAAACCATCTTTTCACCAGCAAACTGCTTGGTCCACTATGGGAGAGTGCTGCTTGTGGAACACAGTTTGTTGTGGCTCCTCGGACTGATGAAGTCCTTTGGATGAAGGACGAAATGTCTAAAAAAAAAAAGAAGCCATCCAGATGACCTGACTGAACATTGTTTGATTTTTGACGAGGTTTTACCAGGTTGTGAAGCGTAACCTTCTTGCAGTAAGAAGACAGCTCTAACCAATCTTTAATGCCTTGTAACAAACTAAAATGAATAAAAAACACAAAACTGTAATTTATTTATATTATTATTATTATTATTATTACAATCACAGTCATGTTTAGGAACAACAAACACGACACACAATCACTGAAAGAAGGAATGACAGGACAAATAATCACTAATTTAAATAGTATACTCAAAGAAACTACATACTTTCTTCGAGGATGTACTATTAGCACACTTGATATGAATTTACAATAAATCATTTGCATTTTATGCTATACCAGAAGATTTTATCAAAGTATTTGAAATTTTGGTTGTAATCGAGCATAACAAGAACACTGAAGATAAGTTTTAATTTGGTTTTAATATTAGTGCAGAACAAAAGACAGTATCGTGAATATAATGCAAAGGCCTTAAATAAAACAGGTACCTCAACCAGAAATCAGGTTATTTCAAACCTTTCTTTGCTCATTTGCTCCTATACTTCTAGACCAGGGTTCCGCAATCTGCGGCTCTGGAGCCGCATGCGGCCCTTTGGTTCCTCTGCAGCGGCTCTTTCAAGCTTTGACCAAAACTAACAAACCACTGCTAGTTTTAACAGTTACATGGCATTTGTTTAGCAAATTTGTGAATACTACTACTAATACATGGAGTAAAACATACTCACTTTAACTTTATGCTTTATTTATTTAAAGAAGGATACTTAATTTTTCCACAAAAAAAAAATAATAATCACTACACCTGCATAGTCCATTGTTTAAATTTAAAAAATGGGAAGCACTATATATATTTTTTTTGTTTTCTACAAGAATCCGATCTTTTCTTTTGTCTTAAAATGTAAAAATATTAATAAGTGTTAAAAATCATTAGATCCTTTTAGTTTTAAGTCACTCCTACTGGCCTGAAAAGCCTCCTGCAACGAACTTAAAGTGGTCCACTGGTTTTGTGGCTCCAGACATTTTAATTAGTGAACGAATGGGCAGAAATGGCTCTTTGGGTCATGAAGGTTGCAGACCCCTGTTCTCTACACAGTTGCAGAGCACTGCCTCCAGAACAAGTGACACTATACGATGGGATCAGTTCAATTCAGAAACTTTACAATGACCTGCAACGAACCAGTAAAGATAAACTGGTTTGAGAGCATTTGAACAAGAAGATTAGTCTTAAACTGGAGTCATGAAAAACATTAAACAAGTGACTAAATATGATTTAAAATGCCACTAAAATTTGGTAAAATACGTGAGTGAAGCTATTCTTATTCTGATCCTGCAATCAGAGATGGAGAATGACATAAAGTCAGGATGGAGGAGGTGGGGGGTGTGAGGGTGTCATGCTGCGAAAAAGCTTTGTATGATCATATACATCGAGGATAAAATTTTACGATATTAATATATTCCTTTTGCCAGGTCACTGATCATTTTCATTACCCTTCCTCAAAACCTCCTGGCACAAAAAGCTCATTTCAAGGTCCACCAGTGGTTAAGGGGCGCTGATTGATGGCCAAAAGGAGTTAACTTAAAATCTAGTCTCCAAAGCAGAGGGGACACGTTTCCATGGTGCTTTTTTATGCTGTACATTATTGCACCAGATTTCCACTCAGCCTTAAACTAGCAACTGGCCCGAGGCGAACCGAGCACAGGTTTCATGCAACACAAAATAGCCACGAGCAACTTGGAGGCTTTTATTTTTAGCCAGTAAATGTCTGACTTTGTGTAATTCTGTTTAATATTGAACTAACATCTTTACAAAGATGCCACATTTGTGTTTTGCTGGAAGAGTTTTTTTTTTTAAATATTTATTTACATCTTTAAGTTTGAGGCAAATTGCAAATGTGTTAAAACATTTTTTTTTAGGTCTTTTTACTGTTTTTGTTGTGATTTTCTGTCACAATTATGCATAATTGGATTACATCAATTAGTAGATAAAATGTTGCTTTAGTGCAATGGGACAACTGAGGCGGAGGACACTGGCTAATGATAACTCATCAGATGAGTATGAAAGTGATGATTAGCCAATTATCAATGGCCTGCAGGTAAAAAACATAACAAGCTGTTAATATATATATATGTTTGCATCATTTAAAGATTCCAATGGCACCCAGCACAACCACAGTGTTGTTCTTTTTTCCCTACTTTTTTTTAGTGTTTTTGTACTGGACATTTTTGAGCCAGAAGGCAAGTAACTTTGAGCTGCAGCATGATGTATTTTTAATGGGTAGGTGGACATATTTCCAGTTAATATATGCATCTCCACTTGGCTTCAGGTCACTATTCTGTCAATAGTGGTGTGCTTTGGAGTGGGAGAGGGACAAAGACAGACATAGAAAGGAGGGAGGTCTAAATATAGGCACACTAATGCGAGAGAAGGGGGAACATGAATAGGAAAAGAAAATGTGATGTTTGATGGAGAGATGTACAGTAAAAGAAACAAGACTGGGTCCTTCAGTTGTAAATCTATAGACTGAATTGGAGACATGGTGGAAAAAACATGCTGAATAAATGAAGAAACACTGCAACTAAGGAACAAGTGACAAAAAAAGCCCTCTGAATTCTGCTGTAAGTGTAACACTAAGCAACACATCAGCTCTCACTGCTGACATATCCTGAGGTCACACTCTGATTGTCTAAGACGCTGTACAAAATGCACCACAAAACACTCTGCAAGATCCAAAAACAGCGTATCACCCTGGAACTAAACACCTGGTTGCAAAATATGTACATGCAGCTTTTGCAGTGAGTTTCAGTAGAAAGAATAATTTAATCCACCAAGCATGAGTGCTTAACAGGATACCATTTTATGATAACTTCCTTAAACATGTGGGCCAAAATGCTTGAACAAAATGACACTTTTTTTTAAAGAGTTGCATAGATTAGGTTGGATTTAGGCTTTTAGATAGAAGGGTTCTGATTAAGGGATTCTCAGTCATCCAAGGCATGGTAATCCCTGTTGAACTGAAGACAACTGGACTTTTGTTTCTTAAATATGTTTCACTTCTCATTTGAAAGGTTTCCATAATTTTGATTATGGATCAGAATCAGAATAAGTTTATTATCATTGCACCAAAGTACAATGACATTATGTTCCGTACAGTCGTCCGAAAAATGGATGTGCATGTGGCTGCAGCTCCTGAGAGCGCGGCACCTTATTCTTTAGATAGAAAAGGGGAAAGACCACGAGGATAGGATAGTGGTATTAAAAAAAAAGATCCCTTCACACCTTGCACTTGTCAGGACACAATTTAAGATATTAAAAAACTACCAGTAAGCCCATTTATAGACACTTTACATATGCATTTGACGACAAGATAGAGAGATTTGTCTATGAAGCACTTCCAGATATCACCATAGTCCTAATAATATGTTAATGTGTCAGCCGGTACAGCTCTGTTAAGCGCTCACAGAAGTTCTCGGGGTGTGGGGGTGAATAGAGCAGAACCTACTTAGTTTACACATCCCCAGGAGCAATTTGATGAATTCACCTATTCAAATCCAAACGTGGAGGCCAGATTCAGATAAGCCACAGTTGTTTTTTGTGCAGGCAAACTGTTTTTCTCATCAGCCTTGAGTTCTGCTGGTACTCTCATGATCCAAAATGGCCAGATTTGTGGGCTTTCTGCTGGTCAGTGCTTATTAGACTTCTCCAAGATCAATCCTAACATGCTGTCGAGTTCCAGAATCCGCAAGTGGCCTACAATTCTCACAAATCGCTTCGATCTCATGATTGAGCTCGTAAATCAGTTGAGTCTGAGATCTCGAAGCATGAATGAATCTTTCACATAAGGTCGGTAGATTTGCCATGGCCAAAACTGCTGCCAACGTGTTCCTTAATAGTTGACAACATAGGTATCCAACGGTGCCAAAAAGCAGAAACCCTGCTATCATAAATCCAACGATGTATAAATCTTCAACATCCTCCCGAGACAACACAGAAAGGCACAACATTTTCCACTCTTCCCACCGATCCATGATGGTTCCAGCCGCGTGCGTCTCAGCGGGGCATGAGGGTTCTCCAGCACCCTGACACTTGGTTGAAATTTTTTTTCAATTGCATTAAAAGTCTAGCTGACCAAATCCATGACAGTAATTTACGATTCAGAAGATATGTAAATAGAAGCTCCGATACACCGGACAGAGAGCAAAAAAGCAGGAGGAAGGCAGGAGAGGGAAGAAAAGCGCCCGTCTAGTTCGAGGGCGAGTGAGGAAAATTGGGAGAGTTTGCGAGAATCAGGCTTATAAAGAAAAGCTTTGACAGTTACCTTAAAAATAGTTTTTATAATCATGAGTCTCTGAGAATATATCAACACGTAAACTTACCATTTATCAGCTCATAATCAAAACTGAGGAAGCATTTTGGTTGCCAGTTGTCCTTTATTCAAACACTTAGGCCTAGACATTTTTTAACTCACGTGAGCATGGACAGGACCTTAAGTTGGTATCTCACTGCTGGTAACTACTTAGTCAAAATTTGTATAAAGGGTTTTTACGTGTTAGTGTGTAGCTGCTCACTCGCTTCAACTTAAACACTCTTAATGAGCTAACAGCTAAATGTTGTTGCTAACACAGTTTGCTAGTGGACAAAATAAACATGATTACTTCTTTTGGTTTCAGTTTTTTTTAATCTGTTTAATCTTTTTGCATAATTAAATGTTTAGTTGAGTTTCGAGAGCACATTTCAATCACTGCGTAAAAACTGCGACTCCTGCTTACCTTAGGTGGGCTTTCAGATCCAGGGTACTCCCGCTGGTCTAGTTTGTTCCAGCGCTGCATCAGCTTTATAACTATAGGTTTGCTGAAGTCCACCAGCTGGAATCCAGTCACGTTGGCTCCACCGTGCATAAACCTTTCCAAGGATATGTCCTTAAAACCCTGGGGAAGGAAAAAGAAGGCAGGAAGGAAGGATTAAAGAAACAAAGAAAGATTGGGGGAATAAAAATCAATTCATGAAAAGTAAAAATGAACAAACTTCCCTCACACGGTGTGTACACATTTGATGACAGATGGCTGTTAACGTATTAAACTGATCATGCCTCTAATTAACACAGAGTGATTTCCAACTGTGAGAGTAACTGTCCACTGAGTGACGCTTCATTGTGAGGTGGTAGTGAAGAGGAATCAGTCTGGGATTGAGCCAAAGACAGAAGTAGAGTATTGAGATGTGCTAGAGAGTTTATGTTTAGTTTAGTTAACTAAAAGCAGTGAAAGCCTATCCAGACCAAAGCTCCTTTTACACGGACACAAGGTTTTAGGGAAGAAGTCAATTTATAGATATGGTCAAACAGTTTCTGACATCGGTGGCCTTAAGTGCCAGCTGGTAAAATACGAGTTCTCTGTAAAATAAGACTTAGATTTTCTGAGAATATTAAATGGGTTCTTATATCTTTTTCTTCCTATTTCAACAAACAAGAATTATTGTTGCTTTAATAATAACAACACATAAGAACTGGAGAACAACAGATTCATTCATTCATTCAACCTTTATTTAGACAGGTTATTCCCATTGAGCCTCAAGGACTCATTTACAAGAGAGACCTGATTTCAACAAAGAATGATGACAACAATGGACAACAAAAACTATATATATTTTTTATTAATTATAAATTATAAATAATCATAAAAGAGGCATACAGTTTATTATTATTATTATTTTTTTTACAAAATAAAATAAGATGGCAAAAAAGAAGCAAAAACAGCTAGATTTAAATGGGCAAATGTAGAAAACTAAAAACAGGAACATGTCTGCATTGGTCCCTGCCAGGAGTCCAACAGATTCTTAAAGACACTTAGAGAGGTCAAGGTCGAGAGCTTCAAATCTTTTTGCAAGATATTCCAGGAAACAGGAGCGGAGTAGGAGAAGGCCCTTTTGCCTAGTTCAGTCCTCACTGAGGGAACACTGCAGGTAATAATGTCCTGAGAGCGCACGCTGTAGCTGCACTCACGCAGAGACATGTAGGAGGAGATGTATGAAGGCAGCAGACCAAGAAGTGATTTAAAGATGAAAATGTACCAGTGAGAGAGTCTGCGTGAAGTTAATGATGTCCAGTTAACCAGTGAATCCAGGGTGCAGTGGTGGGTACGATAATCACAGCCAGTTATGAATCTTAGTGCACCATGATAGACAGCATCCAACATCTGCAGGGTTCTTGTAGGAGCGTTCATGTAAATAATGTCACCGTAATCAATGGAGGGAAGGAAGGTCACAGATACAAGGCATCATGGTGATGGTGTAAATTTCTCCTCAGTCCATATTTGGAGAATGTGATTAATGAAAATACAAGGCTTTCACAAAAACCTGGAGTTTGGAGCTGAAGATAATCAACTACAATCAAATGGTCACGTCGCTAAAGGAGCAATGTGCATTTTTTCACAGATTGATGTGTAGCCAAATATTCACAGAAATGAAAACTAGGTCATACATTTTTGTTCAGCAAGCTGCTGCCTCTCAACGACTAAGTTGCCGGATCGAATCCCAGCCGGGGGCCTTTCTGGGTGGAGTTTGCATGTTCTCTCCGTGCATGCGTGGGTTTTCTCCGGGTGCTCCAGTTTCCTCCCACAGACCAAAAACATGCATGTTAGGCTGATTGGTAACTCTAAATTGTCTCTTGGTGTGAGTGAGAGAGTGAATGGTTGTTTGTCTCTATGTGTCCCTGTGATGGACTGGAGACCTGTCCAGGGTGTCCCCCGCCTCTCACACTGCAACTGCTGGATATGGGCACCGGTGAACCCCACGACCCGAAAATGAAGGTGTGGGTAAAGATGATGGATGAATGGATTCCCTTTATCGTTAGAATGTAACATATTCAGTAAAATCACATGGAGATTGTACTTCAGCAATTGTGTTCTACTGTTTTTGCTTTCCACATAATCATTTACTGAAATGTGATTGAAGCTCTCTTTGTCTTAAATACGCTAAAGCAGGGGTGTCAAACTCACGTACAAAAGGAGCCAAAATTAAAACCTTTTTCAAACTAAGGGCCAGTTTCAGAATTTACATTAACTCAAGTTAGATACTCAACATCTTTTCATGGTCGCAAGTTCCTCAGAAAAAGAGTTTGACTGGTTTCATTTGGCGTTCTCTGTTGCACTTTTGACATCATAATCAAAGATTACTGAAAAAATTCAAGTGAAAAAAGTATTTTATATTTAAAATAACATCTTGGGGGCCAGATGAGATGTCAACGAGGGCCACATTTGGCCCCCGGGCCTTGAGTTTGACATATATGATCTAAAGGTACTGTCTCTCCATGCTGAGACTGTTGGCAACAATCATTAACAGTCACAATGATTTTGGATGAATAATGATTTTCTCTGCTCCTCTGCTGGTAAATGTTTGAGGACTTTAGGTAAAAAAAAAAAAAGATTGCTGCTTTAGTTAAACACACATTTAAACAATTTTAAAGATAAGGGAAGCACACTTTTAGGAAAAGTGTTTGCAATTTTATTGTTGTATACAGGCATTTGGGGCAGTAAGAATCCATCTGATTGGCCAAATACTTTTTATTGGCCGGCACTCTGTGTTTGTGATTTATTTAAATCATTTTCGTTACTGATATTGAACATATTGATTTTGTAATGCCACTATTTTTATTTTATTGTGTAGCTTAATTAAAGACATATGAGAAGGTAAATATCTCTAATGAGTTTCTTTGTCATTGAACCTAATTTAAAAATAATAAAAGTGCAGCGGACAGTGACAGGAGCGCAGCTTTTCTGTAATAACACAAACACTGATACCCTCACACATCTTCAGTGTTGTTTTTACGTCTGAGGCTAACACCAGCAACATGAAACTGATAAACAGGATGATTTTTCTCCTACTGCACAACATTCACAACTTCCCACAATAACTGAGCATTACTGAGAACAGTTAAACAAGTATTGTAATAGCAGGAGCGGAAGTAACGAATTACAAATACTCATTACTGTAATTAAGTCAATTTTTTGGAGTACTTGCACTTTTATGAGTATTTTTTTCAAGTGTGTAATTTTACTCATACTAGACCATGTAATCTACTTGGCTACTTTTAAAATTAGAAGTTGCTACAAAGTACGGCCGCAATTTGAATTAATATTCAAATGGTCCAGAAAGTTCAGAGCTTGATGTTCTCATCTGGTGCTACAGACACCACGGAGCTCCTGCGCTCCGTCTCAGCCTTTAAGAAGGGGGTTCTGTTTATTGCATTTATGAGTCAATGCAATGAAATAAAGAAACTTAAAATAAACCAGATCATTGTAAACTTAGATTAACTTACATAATGATTTTAATTGCTGGATGTCCAGCCCCATGAGCAGTTTTGTTGGTTTAAACTGTTCTAAGCTGGTTCAAAAACATTTTTGTCTTTCTTTTAACAAACAAAATTCCTGCTTTATCCACATTTGTTTACAAAAGAAATTACCTTAGTGTAAATTTTCTAAACTTTATTGTTCATCTGAGAAATGTGCTTTGACTTAAATCAAACTGAATGACTTCTATTGACAACACAATAAAACATCAATTGGTTAAAAAGTAATTAATACTCTGAGTATTTTTTTGAAAACAGCACTTTGTACTTTTACTTAAGTATTTTTATAACGCCAGTACTTTTACTTAGTACAATTTATCCAGTGTAACAGCACGTGTACTTGAGTACAAATTTCCAGTACTCTTTCCACCTATGCGTAATAGTAGCTTTACTCCTGTGATTTATAATTTTCTTTACTTTTTAACATTTCTGATCCATTAACAACACATTAGACTGTTACTGCACACAAGCAGGATTTTATTTGTCAACATTAATGTACAAAATAAAGTTATAATGAGTTATTATTATTATTTTTAGTTGTACACGAGTAGAATTCAAAGATTAGTACCCTGGGAACGTTACAAGACCTAAAAATTAGACTTTAAGAAACAGGATGGATATTGAGACTTCATTCTGTATTTCAGGCACTGATTGTTGTCTCGTGCTGCTTTAAGCTTTGAGGACATATGGAAACATATAAAAACTGCTATCATATTGTGCTTTACAACTACATTTGTGTTTGCTTCCTGTACATCTTAAGGCAAGGTTGCATGACCTTATGCATCCAGAGCAGATAAAGCAGGGACTGCTGCTCTTGTAGCCTTCATCTTCTTTTTTCCTCGTGTTTATGATTTATTATTTATAGCCTTTTGCATTTCACCTACAGAATTTATCACCTTTGATACTTTGTTCCAGCAGTGATTATTCTGTCTCCAATCCTGACCAGAAGGTGGAAAACAGGATAAATAATGTAAAATTTCTCTTCTGTTTTTATTGTTAAGTAGCTCCACATACCTTTTGGCAAACCTGTGCTACTTCTTTGCTTTTATTGTTACGTTTATTTAGTTACAATGCAAGAAAATATTTTTATGTGCAAATTATTAAGCAATCTAGAGACAAGTGTAGAAATCCGTGCATGTATGTAAAGATTTTATGAAGATCAAGATTTGTATGTAGGACAAGGCCATAAATGTGGTGGAAACACCGTGCTTGAATGCATTCACTCAGTTTCCGTCATGAAACTTCATTACATGTCACGCACCTGCTTTATTAAAAGAAGATCCATTTCAGTGCTGGCTATCAAACCAAACAGAACACCAAGACTGGATCAAACATGTTTCAAGACGATATGAAAACTACTTACCAGGTTTGCTATGATGTAATGATAATTTTTCACATGTTTCCCCACGCTGACAGCCTGCAAACACACAGAGAGGAAAAGTTCATTCCTTTCCATCCCCTGGAATGGATACAATGTGGAAAAACAAGAGCTCAGCTGTAAGTCAGTAAGGACATCAACCAAAAAATAAAGGACATTTTCTCCCTTCTGTTGCTTCTATACCTCCCTCAGCAGCTTGGTAGGACTATTTTATAACACTGATTGTACACAGTGGGCAGGATTTCAACGGCCTCTGGAGCAACTCTGTTAAAAAAAAGATTAATTCAAACAAAACCCTATGATTTCACCCGCTCTACTAATTATCGCCAGTGCCCAGGGATTCAGCTTGGAATGTAAACCTGTAAAATGGCTTTTTGACACTTTTACATTCAGAATTAAAAATAGAACATTGTGATATTTCTGACGTAAGAGAAATATGAATATTCCCTTCACCATGATGCATGAGCCTAATTAATAAAACAATCACATTTTACACTTGTCTCTAGTCTCTCCCACACATATCAGCAGCTACATACTCACACACATACACACACAGATCGCAGCTGGCAGGGGCAGGCAAACAGAGCAGTCTCTGTCTCAGAGCGGAGACGTTCGCTAGTGCCAGCACTGCAGAACCGCCTGCGAGGAGAATGTGTGCTTGTGCATGTATCACTGCTCTCAGTATACATTTAAGTAAGTGTGTGTCCATGTGTGTGTGTTCAGTCACCACTGCAACCAATTAAGAAACAGCCTCATCTCTTTGTCAATCTGACAGGGAGGCTGTTATTGGTGTGTGTTTGTGGGTGTTTCGATGACAGCCTTTATATGATGATGTGTTTGTCTAAAATAAAACCACAGATCAGAAATTACCAGGAAGGTATAAAAAAAATATCAGATATTAATTCTTACAAAGTACTTTTACATTAGTTTTGTTGCAAACAGAGCCCAAAGTGTTGTTCATACTGTTTGATCAAGTTTAGTTTATCTGTAAATATGAATTTATTATACACTTCAAGTCTGCAACACCATCCATCCGTCCAGGGGCGGCTGTGGCTGAGTGGTTAGAGCAGTCATCCTCCAATGCAAGAGTTGGGAGTTCAATTCCACCAGTAGTCACATGTTGAGGTGTCCCAGGGCAAGACACCAAACACCTCATTACCTACGATGTGTGTCCCATTGTTGCATGAATGTGATAAAGCATTGGTTATTCTTTGTCTGTCTGTCTGTCTGTCTGTCTGTCTGTCTGTCTGTCTGTCTGT